TATTATATCACAAAATTTAGCGCTGTACTTTTACCAAGTAGTGAGAAAGTTATTTACACCAACTCACTACCGGGTATTCTAAATTTTAAAAAAGAGTTAACATGTCAAGTAGTGACAGATTTATTTACTGAGGTTAAATCACATGGATAAAGGAATAAGAAAGTCCCAAGTGCGAATTAATCCCATAATGCTATACCATTTGCAAAAGTAGACAACCAGTACTACTGCACATGTGGAATTTAACGTTTTTGTAGATTGCCCATTACACCAGGACTTTCTACCAATTTAAAAAGAAAAATATATTAGTGTTGCATTTTACACAAAATTGTGTGATGAATTTCATACACCTGATGTGTCCTTTTATAAAGATAAAACATGTGTATTCAGCAATATCTATCTCTCATGTATACCTTAGCAATGTTGGTCAGAAAATGTAAGGTCAAGTTATACACATGGACTGAGTTTCTGTGTCCATGTCCCGTTTGGAGAATTAAGACAGGTAACAAGGAAGCACTGATATCTGTACTCTTCCAGATTCCTCGCGTGCTCAGGGGTGATGCTGGGAGCCGGGTTATGATGTCACTCCAGCCATGACTTCACTAGATGGCACACGATGGAGCAGTGCTGGAAGAGCACGAAGATGACATTTTGCCACACCAGACCCCAGTGAAAAGACCCACTCCAGCTCTCAAGGGAACTACCAGCCACATTATTTAAGAACAAGTAAAGACTCAATGAAGCTGCCTCTACTGCAAAAGTGCCTCAATGGAAATTTTATACTCCTGTTCCCAGCCTATGATGCTATGTTATCAACACAGTGGTTTAAAAAAAAAAAAACTGCACAGGGCATCTTGCAACTCTTAACTTGACCTCGCAGGCAAGGAATTGTTGGATGTTGTGTGAATCATTTGGGACGAACAGAGCCGCTCCAACTACAGTCTTGTCCATTCCAATATTCATGATGCAGTGTTAAACACTCCAGCAAACTGCTGTAATTATGGTGCTTGATCGACCTTAAAGGATCACTATAGTGTCAAGAAAACAAACTCTTTTTCCTGACACTATATAATCCTTGGGGGACCCTCACCCTCAGGGCCCCCTCCTATGGCACTTAAGGGGTTAAAACTCCTTCAGTTACTTACCTTAATCCAGCGCCAGTGACCTCTCCTCCCCCTCCGATGTCAGCTCCCGAGTGGAGCCGAATGCGCATGCGCAGCAAGTGGCACGCGCTCCTTCAAACTGTCTATAGGAAAGCATTTCTCAATGCTTTCCTATGGACGGTCTGCACGCTATGTTTACATGTGAAGGGTTAAAACCTGAGCGACATTGGACCCAGACCACTTCTTTGAGCTGAAGTGGTCTGGATGACTATAGTGTCCCTTTAATGTAAATAGTCAGACCATTTTCTAAAAGTTTGACTTCTTACCTGAGACCCACTCAGCAATCCTCCCCGCCTCCAAAACCAACACCGGAGAACTGGAAATACCCAAGCAGAAGCTTCCGTAAGCTCTTCTGAGCTTATCTCTGCATTAGAAGTGGAGGGGGGAAGCTCACCTAAAGAACCCAAGGTAAGAATTCAAACCATTCAAAATACGCTGGTCTGCTTACAATTGGGGGAAAAGCACAATAATCAAAGCCTGCTGTAGTGGTTATGTTCTTGTACATTTAACTTTTAAGCACATTTCAAATGCTGCAATCTTTGGATCCCTTTAACCCCTTAAGGACCAAACTTCTGGAATAAAAGGGAATCATGACATGTCACACATGTCATGTGTCCTTAAGGGGTTAAAATGTGAGCGCAAGAGAGCGTGTGTGAGAGAGCGAGAGAGTGTGTGTAAGAGAGCGAGAGCGTGTGAGAGAGAGCCTGTCAGAGAGAGAGAGAGAGTGTGTGTGAGAGCGAGAGCCTGTCAGAGAGAGAGAGAGAGTGTGTGTGTGTGTGTAAGAGCGAGAGCCTGTCAGAGAGAGAGAGTGTGTGTGTGTGAGAGAGCGAGCGAGAGCGAGAGCGCGAGAGAGCGAGAGAGAGAGCGAGAGAGAGAGCGAGAGAGAGAGCGAGAGAGAGAGCGAGAGAGAGAGCGAGAGAGAGAGCGAGAGAGAGAGCGAGAGAGCGAGAGAGAGAGAGTGTGTGTGTGTGTGTGAGAGAGCGAGAGCCTGTCAGAGAGAGAGAGTGTGTGTGTGCCTGTCAGAGAGAGAGAGAGAGTGTGTTTAAGTACCTGCACCCTCCAATCGCACAAAGAAGGTGTTTTTACTCATCTTTTTCCCCCATTTTCCCACGCCGTGCCAGTTTCGCCACGGCTGAGATTATCAATCTTTATGATCTCAGCTAAGCCAATGCTTTCCCTTAGGAAAGCATTGGAAGGATTTTGTGCATGCACAGTAAATGTACCAATCCGCATCTCCTCATAGAGCTACGTTAAATAATTTAATCTCTATGAGGAACATTCAGCGCCTCCTTATGCAGCAGTGACCCAGGGCTCTCTAGTGGCCGCCTGAGTGACTATTACTAGAGGTGTTACTAAGCAGAAATGTAAACTCTGCCTTTTCGCAGAAAAGACAGTGTTTACATGGAAACGCCTGCATTAATAGGCTATAGACCCCAGAACAACTACATTAAGCTGTAGTGATTCTAATGACTATAGTGTCCCTTTCAGAATTGCATTTTCTTGTTGAAAATGACCGGCTCCTAACATTTTTTAGCTGGCTCCTAGATTCCAAACAAATTTGTTAAGCCCTGATATATTCTTAAATTATCATAGTCGATGTATGTAATCTTTTTCATATTTATGTGATTTTATTAATTACAATTTGAGAGACCTGCCAGAATCCCCAGACAGAAAGCCAAGAGAACTTAATTTTCAAGCCCTATATTTGACCATTTACATTTCAAAAACCCCTGTACATGCGGGGTACTGTTGTACTCGTGATACATTGCTGAACACATTTTATTGCAGTAAAAGCAAACAGTATTATCACATTCACAGTTAAAATATCACACAGAACAAAGAAAATACAATTAAATTTTTTAGTTTTTATTCAAATAAAATTATGTTTAATATATAAATATTTGATGTGTAATAAAAGCCATATTTCTTCTGAACAAAATGATATACGTGTGGGTGCACTTAATATGAAATAGGTCATTACGATTGAGCCATATAGCTCAAATTCTAGGTTTTGTTTTGGTTCAGAACAATTGCATCAATCCTTAAAGGGTTAAACTACATTTCCGCTAGTTTATTTAGAAGGTCAAACCAACTATGTTTACACTGCATTTGTAACATAACTTATTCAAAAACCATAACAAAAAAAATTTTAAAAAGTCAAAATGACAGCTCATACCATACACATGAAATTTGTTTAAATATGCCTAGCTTTAAAAAATGTAAAAAACATTTATAAGGTTTGTGTTTAATTTTAAGTTCAAAAAAATGTTAACAATAAAGTCTACACATAATGCTGGTAAATGACTAAATCAAAATACAAGAGTTACATTGAGTATCGCAAGTTATAAATCCTATTTCTTTTCTAACAAAATTCTTCACAGATTCACAAGCAATCAATGTGATCAAATCATTAATAAAGCTAAACTTCCTATATCAAAGGCAAAGTCAATAGGGGTTCCTCTGAGAAAAACTCAATAACTCCTGTCATGCTAGCATGTTAAAAGAAACTATAGCACTGTGCCTGTCTAGATCTCACGACCAACAAGCACATTGCCTTCTTTATCACCGAAACAGAAGTGTTTCTAGAAATATAAAATAGAACATATCTGAAATGCAAAAAAATAAAAATGCATGCTTCATCTTCATAAAATAAAAAAAAAAGCAAAAAACAAAAAGCACAACCAACACACGGGAAATAGCTGAAATAATCTGTTTACCATTTCACATGCCCAGAGTCTGTGTGTAGATACATATTCTATGATTTATCGTTAATAGCAATGGTTGATAGAAGTTGCATGGTCAAACACAGAACTAGGAACGAGGAGAATTTAGAAGTAACTCCCACTAGCTGGAATGGCAACCAGAATACTCACACAGAAAGCAATGATAGGGCAACACACAGCAGACCAAGCAGAACTCCAGCCCACAGTGCATGCAGCCAAGGCCCAGCCATTTTACACACTTTGTTCAGCCACCAGCTATAGTGTGCTCTTTACATGTGATACATTTGGTGTAATGAGAGCACTACGAGCAGCACGGTCGTAACATATAATCCAGGGAAGACGTGAGCACACGCAAGCAGCACTGTAGTCCCAGCAAGACACAGTGAAAGCTCAGTGCTCAGATCTGCCTACCTCCTGCCATACAGGACAAGTTAGTACACACACACAGTCTACCTACCTCCAGTCATTCATGTCAGTGCAAACATACACACGCTGAACCAGGCCATATAAAAACACACACGCTGAACCAGGCCATATAAAAACACACACGCTGAACCAGGCCATATAAAAACACACACGCTGAACCAGGCCATATAAAAACACACACACTGAATCAGGCCATATAAAAACACACACACACTGAATCAGGCCATATAAACACACACACTGAATCAGGCCATATAAAACACACACACTGAATCAGGCCATATAAAACACACACACTGAATCAGGCCATATAAAACACACACACTGAATCAGGCCATATAAAACACACACACTGAATCAGGCCATATAAAACACACACACTGAATCAGGCCATATAAAACACACACACTGAATCAGGCCATATAAAACACCCACACTGAATCAGGCCATATAAAACACACACACTGAATCAGGCCATATAAAACACACACACTGAATCAGGCCATATAAAACACACACACTGAATCAGGCCATATAAACACACACACTGAATCAGGCCATATAAACACACACATACATACATGCTGGATCAGGCCATATAAACACACACATACATGCTGGATCAGGCCAAATAAACACACACATACATCCATGCTGGATCAGGCCATATAAACACACACATACATCCATGCTGGATCAGGCCATATAAACACACACATACATCAATGCTGGATCAGGCCATATAAACACACACATACATACATGCTGGATCAGGCCATATAAACACACACACGCTGGATCAGGCCATATAAACACACACACAAGCTGGATCAGGCCATATAAACACACACACATACACACATGCTGGATCAGGCCATATAAACACACACACATACACACATGCTGAATCAGGCCATATAAACACACACATACAAACAGACACACAAGCTGGATCAGGCCATACACACACACACACGCTGGATCAGGCCATATAAACACACACTCATACAGACAGACACACATGCTGGATCAAGCCATATAAACACACACACATACATACAAACAGACACACATGCATGATCAGGCCATATAAACACACACATATACACATTGAATCAGGCCATATAAACAAACACACACTGGATCTGGACATAGAAACACACACATACATACAAACAGACACACAAGCTGGATCAGGCCATACACACACACATGCTGGATCAAGCCATATAAACACACACACACAGACACATGCATGATCAGGCCATATAAACACACACATATACACACACACTGGATCAGGACATATAAACACACACATATACACACACACACTGGATCAGGACATATAAACACACACACTGAATCAGGCCATATAAAACACACACACTGAATCAGGCCATATAAAACACACACACTGAATCAGGCCATATAAAACACACACACTGAATCAGGCCATATAAACACACACACTGAATCAGGCCATATAAACACACACACTGAATCAGGCCATATAAACACACACACTGAATCAGGCCATATAAACACACACATACATGCTGGATCAGGCCAAATAAACACACACATACATCCATGCTGGATCAGGCCATATAAACACACACATACATCATGCTGGATCAGGCCATATAAACACACACACATGCTGGATCAGGCCATATAAACACACACACATACACACATGCTGGATCAGGCCATATAAACACACACACACATACACACATGCTGAATCAGGCCATATAAACACACACATACAAACAGACACACAAGCTGGATCAGGCCATACACACACACACACGCTGGATCAGGCCATATAAACACACACTCATACAGACAGACACACATGCTGGATCAAGCCATATAAACACACACACATACAAACAGACACACATGCATGATCAGGCCATATAAACACACACATATACACATTGAATCAGGCCATATAAACAAACACACACTGGATCAGGACATATAAACACACACATACATACAAACAGACACACAAGCTGGATCAGGCCATACACACACACACATACACATGCATGATCAGGCCATATAAACACACACATATACACACACACTGGATCAGGACATATAAACACACACATATACACACACACTGGATCAGGACATATAAACACACACATACATGCTGGATCAAGCCATATAAACACACACACATTGAATCAGGCCATATAAACACACACACACACAAGATCAGGCCGCCCATAAAACGCACACACTGAATCCAGGCCATATAAGCACACACACTGAATCAGGCCGCTATAAACACACACACTGAATCCGTTATATAAACACACACAGATCCAGGCCATATAAACACACACACACACGCTGGATCAGGCCATATAAACACACACTCATACAGACAGACACACATGCTGGATCAAGCCATATAAACACACACATACATACATGCTGGATCAGGCCATATAAACACACACACGCTGGATCAGGCCATATAAACACACACACATGCTGGATCAGGCCATATAAACACACACACACATACACACATGCTGGATCAGGCCATATAAACACACACACACATACACACATGCTGAATCAGGCCATATAAACACACACATACAAACAGACACACAAGCTGGATCAGGCCATACACACACACACACGCTGGATCAGGCCATATAAACACACACTCATACAGACAGACACACATGCTGGATCAAGCCATATAAACACACACACATACATACAAACAGACACACATGCATGATCAGGCCATATAAACACACACATATACACATTGAATCAGGCCATATAAACAAACACACACTGGATCTGGACATAGAAACACACACATACATACAAACAGACACACAAGCTGGATCAGGCCATACACACACACATGCTGGATCAAGCCATATAAACACACACACACAGACACATGCATGATCAGGCCATATAAACACACACATATACACACACACTGGATCAGGACATATAAACACACACATACATGCTGGATCAAGCCATATACACTCACACACGCTGGATCAGGCCATATAAACACTCACACGCCCATTAGCTGCGCACACTAAGACGGCTGGAGAAGGCCTCCTGTCATCACGCCGCGCTGCCAGCCGCTCCCCTCCCGATTTATTACAAGGCCCCGTCACAGACACGGTACACAGACGCCCCAATTCAGGCAGCTCGCAGGCCCCTGTGCCCGGGGGTCACTCACCGAGCTGGGGGCGGTCACAGCTGACGAGCTTTTCATGTCTCCGGCCTCCTCTTTCCTCGCGCGCAGGGGGAAACGGCGAGCCGCGGGCGCGCGCACTTCTCTGACACACGCACGTGCCTGCCCACACGTGACTCGCTCTGTGCACGGGATCGAAGAAGAAACTAGAGCAATGTTTTTGGTGGGGATGTTGTTGTTTTTGGTGGGGATGTTCTCGCGCAGTACTGTTGGCTTAGGCGGTTATTAACTAAACCGTGAATTAAAAGGATTTCAGACAAGAAATGGAAATATTATGGCAGAGTTAGAGTATTTTAGAAAATACTTTATACTCGCATTTCATACTCGGGTTTGTTTGTATGGACCCAAGTTTGCGGGGTGTTGATGGAAGGCACCGATCGCCTCCATAATGTGGGAGGCTACTGGCTGGGAAGTACAGTACAATTATATTTATTATGGTAACATGGGCAAACAGTTCTTATTTTAGTGTAGTTTGGCCTTGATTTAATATTTTTGGATACTTTTTTTAATGGTTTAATATTTTTGGATCATCTTTTTAAATGATTTAATTCTTAAAAAACTATTTTAATAATTTGTAAAATATATAGATATAATTTTAATATGTATGATTATTATAAATATTTTAATTTAAAAAAAATATTTTTAAAAATATATCCAAAAATATTAAATCATTGCAAAAGATTACATGAAAATTAGTCTTTTATTCCATATGGAAGAGTCAAGTTTTTTTATTCAAGCCATTCTATAGAATGTTTGTTTGTAAATACAATGTTGCAACTTAATAGGAGAGAGGCAATCAGTGTAGTAGAAACTGGTCTAGGTTCTTATGCCCCTCTGGTACCCTACACCATTTTTTTGGCGTTTTCTTTTTAGGGGTTGCTGGTATTCGGAAGCAGCCTTCACTGATGGTTCCTCACTGTGGCACTCAGTAAGAAGCCCAGAAATTAGCTGAAACTGAAATGTGTTTGCTTTTTTGAATAATATAAAGCTATTGTCGGATGCCATCTCATTAAATAAATGTCTACTTTTTTATACCATGCCCTGGTTTTTCCCATGAATTATTATGGCTGTAGCAGTTGATCAGACAGGTCAACCCCCCCCCCCTCCCGCCATGTGCTGATCATAATGCTTAAAGGTCCACTATAGGCACCCAGACCACTTCAGCTCAATGAAGTGGTCTGGGAGCCAGGTCCATCTAGGGTTAACCCTGCAGCTGTAAACATAGCAGTTTTATGTTTACATTGGGGTTAATCCAGCCTCTAGTGGCTGTCTCATTGACAGCTGCTAGAGGCGTTTCAGCGCTTCTCACTCCATAGATGGACCTGGAAAGCATAGAGAAATGCTTTCCATAGGAAACGTCCATAGGAAAGCATAGAGAAATGCTTTCCTATGGACTGATCGAACACTATTTTCATTTTGGAAATTCCATTTAGACGAAGGGAATTGCAAGGTACTACATTTCTTAATAAATCAAATAGGATTATTAATTAAAGTCCAAATGGCCCTGAACAAATGGGGCAAAACCATTTCCTGTTGTACGGGGCCAATCTGACTTCAAAACCTGGATATTGTTCGCAATTTATTCAACAATTTCTAGATTTTGCAAATATGGCTCCAATTAAGCCTGAATGGCAACCAAATGGAAGCCAGGCTGAAGAATTAAAAATAAGCGTTTCTCTCTCCAAGTTATTAGACTATTTGATTTGAGTGCTAGATTTGAGTGCTAAGTCCTTGGATCACACCGGCACACCAGCATCAGTTTAGCAGAATTATCAGCTTGTTTATGTAGATGACCTTTAAGCTGATCCTTCAGCCTACCTCAGGATGTAAAATACCACCTTGAACACCCTCATGGTTTACAAGGAAACAACCATCTTTCTCCCTAGATGGGTGAACATAGGGATTACCCATAGGCGGCTCTCTAATTAGGCAGTTTAGGCGGCCGCCTAAATTGCCTTAGGGCAGACTGACATGTCGGGTCTTCAGTCTATGACCAAGGGCCTGACACAGGAGGAGCAGCTTGCCCATTATGCCGCTGGGTGCGAGGCCCTTTCATGCAGTCTGCCCTGATATAGAGCCAAGCACTGACTTCAGTCTGTAGCTCCGCCGGTTGCAGAGCTACAGACTGAAGTGTCTCGCGATCACCAGCCTATCCGAGGCTGATACTTCTGGAGATCACAAGACACTTACCACGAGGTGTGCAGCTCTGCAGACCAGATAGGGAGCCCACAGGACCACCAGAGATCGAATCAGGGATAGAGGTAGACTACTGGACCACCCAGGAATCAATTTAATATAAAAAAGGTAATTTTGAACTCCCATCTACAGCCATTCAAAGCCCCTCTTGCCCCCCTATGCTGTCACAGCCCATCTAGCCCCCCTACCCTGTCACAGCCCATATAGGCCCCCTACCCTGTCACAGCCCCACTAACCCTCTACCCTGTCATGGCCCTTATAGGCCCCCTACCCTGTCACAGCCATTCTAGCCCCCCTACCGTGTCACTGCCCCTATGCCCACCCTACCCTGTAACAGCCCTATAGCTCCTCTACCCTGTCACAGCCCCACTAGCCCCCCGACCCTGTCACAGCCCCAATAGCTCCCCTACCCTGTCACAGCCCCACTAGCCCCCCGACCCTGTCACAGCCCCTATAGCTCCCCTACCCTGTCA